ATTTTGTGCATAAAGAAGCTGTTTTGGGGAAGTTGACTTTCCTGTCCAAGGTCTTCTGCTAGCGCATGGAAGAGGCAGAATCCAAATTCAGTTCTCTCTGACTCTTAACTTCAGTCCTCTGAAGACCAGCCAACAGGCAGGATGTTCCTGAGATGAAAGGGATTTGAGGTTATTTGTTCCCAATGGCTTTCTTCCCAGAATCTGTGAGGTTTTAAAAAATATTTGTCTGTTTGTTTATTTATTTAGAGTAGGGCAGAGGCTGTGCTAGGTCCTGCTGGAATATAAGCTCTTTGAAGGTATCGACTGTGTCTATCTTTCATTCTGGCACATGGCAGGCGTCCAGTGATACTTGTTGAATGAATGCTGTGACTTCCCCAAGGCGGGCTCTAGGTCCATTTCCTTTGCAGAGTGCACCGTCTGCCCTTGGACCTGGCCTCAGAGCTGGAAAACACTCTGACCTTTCAACTATCTCACCTCTTCACTCACTCCCCACCACACCCTCACCCCAGGTTCAACATACTTGGAAAGGATCTAAATAAGCCAGTATTAGTCTCAACTAAGAAGTACAAGTGGGGGGCATGGAACACCAGTCCAAAGCAGCAGTGACCATGTGCCAGGCACTCTATTAACCATTCTGTTCCCTTAATCCTGTACACTCAGTACTGTAACCCCTATTTTCAATGAGAAGATTGAAAGTACCATGTTGAAGATCACGATTGTCAAACTAGAGTCAGCACTTAAACCCAAATTTGCCTGACACCAGAGTTGCCAGGAATAGTTGCACGGTGGTCTGTGGCTTGACCCCAAAAGAGGTTTAGGGCCTCATGGACAAGACGGCAATGCCAAGTGGGGTGGGCAGTGCAAGGAAAAGCTTTGTTGAGGTGTCCAGTGGTCGTTTCTCCCACCTGTCCTTCCACGAACCCTGTGTCTTTGTCTTTCTTTCAGTTCCATCTTTTCTTCAAACTCTTGGCTTTTATCAGGTGCATTTCAGGGTCAGTTTTCTAGAACAGAAGATATTATTGAAAATCTGCCTCCCATTTACAAGTCTTAGATTCTAGGTTGTATATAAGAATTACCTTTCTCCCTATTTCCATCAAAATAAATGAATAAATACACAACTAAACACACACCATTTGAATTCCTGACCCTGTTTATTGAAATTAAAACTGGTATCACCTGGTATGCAGCTGTTACCTAGAGGCCAATGTAGAAAAAAAAAAAACATACTAAACCTGACTCTGAAGACATGTGTTCAAGTTTCAGTGCTACCATAGCTGAGCTCAGAGTGAGGCATTCCTTCCATGTAACACAAGGTGGCTATGCAGATTCATTGAGCTAACATTTGCAAAAGTCTCATGGCAGCCTAAGGGACCAAATCGGAGCCCTGAGAGGTCATGGGACCTCACCAAATTAGTTAAATAGCAGTGATGCATTCCCTCTTCTACATTAAAGCACAAAGAAGCATTTGGGCAAGCCAGGCGAGTGACCATAGTACACAGAAGCCTTGTGGGAGAGATCAACCCAGATGCTTTCCTTTTCTCATTTTTATTCAGACAGTTACTGTAAAGATGCAATTAAAGAATCAGTTCATTGCTGATGGCTTTTGTCTCACACACTCCAGCCTGGGGAGTGGAACATAGATGTAAGCCACTCTCTTCTGATCCAAACAAAGCCTGAGAGCCCCCCAGTACAGCCCTCACTCTACCGGCATTTGGCTTAGCTGCCAAGTCACAAATGTGCTCAGGCTCTATGAGGAAAGCAATGCTAGTTTTAATCTCTATCAAAGTGGAGGAGATTAATTCTCTGGCTGCAGTAGCCCATTCATTTCTCATAGACCATTTGATGACAGGTGCTTTGGCAGTAAATTGCCATATCATCTGATGGTATGAAACATTGCTCATCATACCTGCTACAGTATACACCCTGAAGCCACTTGGAAAATGGGGCCAAAAAGGGAAACTTCAGGGTCTAGGAATGTTTGGTGCCCTTTTGCAGTCTCAGGAGGAAATGGGATGCAAGGTGCAAAAAGCCAGAGTGGTGATGGTTTTGTAGAAACCATCTTGGAGAAAGCTGTCTGGCTGCTCACCAGCTGTCCCATCTAACACCAGATGTGGAGTTTCCATTCATGTGATAACTCAGAATGCTAACAGAAGGGCCTTGGAGGTCAGTTATCCAATCTCGCCTCCTCTCAATTTGCACATGAGAGAACCAAGGTCCAGACAGGGATGACACTCAGCTAGGGAGCAGCAGAGTCACATAGGAAAACTGAGTTCCCAGTCTATTGTTCCTCTCATCCATGATGCTGCAGTCCCTGGAAAACATGCACAAATGATCATTTTCCATAGAGAGGAAGTCAAGTTGTAAGAATCAAAGGCACAAACTCTGGGGACAGCGATTTGGTTATAATCCAGCTCCTGGTATACAAAGTGTGTGACCGTAGGCAAGGTGTTTAGTTGCTCTACTCCTAGTTTCCCTGCTTATAAAGTGGGAATGACACAGCACATAGTTTGTAGGGTTGCTGTGATGATTACATGAGTTAATATATTTACTATTTAGAATCATGTTTGCCACAAAGCACAACATTGATGTGTGTCATCCTCATCATCCCAAGTAAGTTGAGAAGCCTGTGTTTCTACTAAGTCGCCCTCACGGTTTCCACTCCTTGGAACATGCAACAGAAGCCAAATGTAGCTGCAAACCCTCTGCCCAATAAGCACCGAGCATCTTATGACAACTGCTGCACACCACCAGAAACACTCATTTCTCTTTAGCATTCCTCCCCCTTTTCTCTCCGTACCTCACTCTTTCATGCTTTGCTTTCCTTATGTTCCCTTCTCCTCTTTGCTTTAGCTATAACCAACTGGTACTGATAGTGTGACATCCACAGAAATGCTTACATCCACTGGTAGGACTTGGAATAAGGTGATTTCTATACTAAAGCCCTCTCTCTCTCTCGCTCTCTCTACAGTGGAGTATATTAGGGCTTCAGTTGTTTCTTAAGTCAATATCAACATGATAGAATAGACAAAAACATATATATGTATACACACACATTACATACATATATATATATAACTAGTCTTACATATATGTCAAATATATAAAAGATGTTTTTAAAAAGTATATGATATACTTTTAAAGAAAAAAATAAACATATACACACATACATATACATACTTTTAAAGAAACATGTGGGCCTTATAAATCTGCATTGCTCATTGCTTATTTCTTATTAAACTTATTTAAAATTTTAAGTCATTCAATTTTTGCAGAAGACAGTTTGGAGAATTACCTTTAGCTTCAACTAGAGCATTTTCCAACTCAGCACATGGTATAACCCAGTAGGATTTTTAGGATGTGTGTCAGGACTGCTGGAGGCCCCAGAATTAGGCTACTTTTTTATAAATATTTATGGATCCTCCCTGTGGAGCACAGCCCTGTGCTAGAACCTGGATCCTGCCATTGTTTTATAATTACTCAGTAACAAAAATGTGGATAAATATGAGCCAACCTTCAAGCTATCAAGTGAACACATCTTTTTAGATCATCAGGGCAGTGTGTACATTAAGTCAGCGAAAGAGCGGTACCGTGTAGAAATCCCTGGGGTAGGAACCATTGTATGTTTATTCCTGATCCGTGTAGAAATCCCTGGGGTAGGAACCATTGTATGTTTATTCCTGATGTGAGAGACCTGATCCCCCTAAGCAAAAGGTTCAGTCAGTGCCTCTCTAGCCAAGCATGGATCCATGCCACCAGGTTAGAAGGTAAGCCAAATGGCTTGGATCCTGTCTAAGGAGACCCTGCACAGCACCTTAGCTTTTTGAAGGAGGAATGCTTATTTCCAGTGGGCCAATTTGCTTCTCAAAGAGGCTGTGAAGTCCTGGCTTGGAGAGGCATGCCATCTTGTCTGCATCTCCTTCCCTTTGTCCCTGGTCATACAGGAATGCCTCTCGATGGCTTTTAATCCTTTGGCAACACTCAGTTTTGCTTTCCCTGGGATATGCTCTGCTTGCGAGCTACTGGTCTTAACAACCCTAAGTGCTTGCAAATAAAGGTGACGGGGGAGCACAGAGGCAGGGTTGGACACTTGTACATCTGCCCCGGGCCCTTGGAACAGGCTAGAACAATCCCATTTTGCATGGTTTGTGTTCTTGAGGCACAGCAGATGAGAGGAAAGCAGCACTCGCGATGCTGTGGCTTGTTTCCCGGTGAAAGGCAGACGATGAACGAGGGATGGGGGAAAGGGCCAGAGGGAGGGAAGAAGCAAGAAGGAGGTAAAGGGAGAGCTCTTGCAGGGGAGTCCTCAGGTGGCACCTTGTTTCTTTCTTCTCCGTTGCCTTAGGAGAGGCACTGCCGACTACTGGGACAAGTCCAATCACAGTCTTTAAAACTCTAGGATAATTATTCATCCTTCCTCAGCTGCTGCAGGAGGAGCCTTCACAATGTCTAAACTGCACATACTGAGAATGAAAAGTCAGCCACATCAACACCTGCACTTCTGTTGCCCACAAACCGTCTCCATCTCTCCCCACTTCTCCCCCTGCTGCTCCTGACCCCTTCTGGATCCTCTCCTCCCCCCATGCCTATATTTTCCCACTTACCCCTGCCTGTACTGGATGCTGCCTCCACGCATACAGCACAGTTAGAGGCACTGCTTGCGAAGTGGCTATCAGGTCCTGCCTCACTACTGAGCACTGTCTGTTGCCTCAACCTTCGGGCTCTCAGGCTTAAATGACTGTCCTCAGCTCCCCCATTTATTTTTTAAACCCAGCCTTTCAGAGCAGGCTGTAGTGGTCAAGGCATCCCGATGACTTGCCCTTTGAGTTGCTATATATGTTCCCAGTGGGCATTTTTCATTTGTCCAGACTTGGAAGGGTCGATGGGGGAGGGGAAGTGGGGGAATGTTCAGAGAAGCATGTCTGTGCATTTGCTTGTCAGGGAATAAGGAAGGTGTCCTTTGGGTACCTGCTAATGGGTCTGTCTCTCTTTCCCCTACACAGGGCCTGGAGCAGTCATTGATGGTGTAAACTCGGCCTCTAGAGCACTGGCTTGTCTCTGGCTATCAGGCACCCTCTTTGCTCACTTCTTCATCAAGTTTTGATAAGAAACCACAGGTCCTCTGAGCAACGCCTGCTTCTCCATATCACAGACTTTAAGCTACACTGCGGAGGGCAAACCAGTTTGGGCTTCTTTTTGTTTGTTTCTATTCTTCTTGGTATTTTGTTTTTTGGGGTTTCCTTTGGTTTATTTGCTTTTATTTTGCCAGTTTGAATGAGTGGGGCTCGGGGGAGGGGTGGGCAGGGTTCTACCCCATGTACGATAATCACTCATTGGTGTGTCCAAAAATGGAATCCGCTCCTGCTACCTTGGCTCGTCCCTTTCCTCTACTTCTCCCCCATCATCATTACCACCAACATCCCTGACCCTCCCCAACACACATCCAAACATAAGTTTCTTTTGGGCAAAAAATGTGCCTCATGATAAACACCCTGAAGATACAAGTCGACTCATGATATAGTACACAGCAAGACTTACATACAAGTGTCCTATTATCTGTGTCTTTCAAGCTCTGGATCATTTTCCTGATTATAATGTACATATACCTCCCTCCATGTTGATTACTATCTCCTTCCAGAGGGTTCACATCTCTTCTTTCTGGGAAGTTACCTCACTGTACCCATCTTGCCATCTTCCCTAGTCACTCTGCCCTGTCCATTTCTTCCACCAGGTGCAGGGACGAGAGGCATGAGGCTATGCCAGCAACCCTAAACTAAACCTTTAGAAGTCAGGTGACCAGAAGAGGGGGGCACATTTTGAGGGTAGTGCTGTTCAACTTTAAAAATTGATGCTGTTCAACTCAAAAAGTAATTGACAGATAAATGATCAGCTCTCCATCAGAGTAATCAGAGTTATCCATCTACTCAGCTGTCTGATTTCTCGCTCCATCCAGTTATCTACCCACCTGTCTTCCTCTCTAGCAATCTGTATACTCGCTTTATCAATCGATTAATGTAATTGTCTAATACTTCTTTCTGTTTCTCTCCCCACTACTCACTATCAATTCATCACCACGTTAACCTCTAATCATGTTGTGTCTGTCCCACTGTATTCACGTGTACCATCAGCAGACTCTGGCATCTTCAAAATTACCTGTCAGCTTCCCACATGAAAGCCAATGATCTCACAGGCTAACAGCATAGAAAAGCAATACCCTATGTCATGGACTCTTTGGAATGTGGTAACCCATCCACCTAAAGTAGATGCCGTTAACAGATGGACCAAAGTAGCAAATTAATGATTAGTTACGCACTATTCCCAGAAGAGACTGGTTCCTAAGACATTTTCTTGGGAAGCAGATAAGTCACGGTAAAGCCTTGATCAGCACTGTGGTTTTTCTTTCACGCTTGAAGGACTAAGGCACCAACCTTGCTTCTCTCAGTCTTTCAACAAAGTGCATGTCGGGAGCCTGTGGGACCTACTTCATGGCTGGCTTTTCCTTAACAGCAGGAATGTAAGAGAGAAACACACACCTGTCTCTGCGACGTGAAGAGAGCAGCCCACCCATCCGAGTGTGGTGACTCCAGCTAGCTTCTCCTCTCTGCTCCAGTTCTGGTTTAATCTGTTTGAAAACTATCCAGTAAAAAGCTGATGGAGGCCAATTACATGGTGGGTATATTGACGACTCTGGTATTTGGTTCAGGAAGCTCTTCTGAGCTGAGGGCACTTGAACAACTGACTTAATTTCCAAGCACTTGATTAACACAACACCACAAACAGAAGCGGGACGTGCAAGTGATACAGTTTCCTCTCATGCAGGCTGCTTCTCCAGTGGCTTTGGGGAAGACTGTCCCCAGAGCCCGTGTTCAAAACAGATCCAGCGTACAAACAAGAGTTGACCCAACCTTTCTGCATTGTCTCTTGGGACAAAAAGAACTCATCCTGCAAGGGTGCCTGTGATTCAGAAGAGCAGCATTGAAAACCACACCGGGCTTTGCTGCAGGGACGGACCTGCTGGGAGGACAGGAAAGAGGCATCAACATGACGCTCTCAGAGACCTGCCCTGCCTCAGTTGGAAGACCTCTTCAGGTCCTCAGTCTAAAAAGAAAAAACTTCACAGAGTTCCATTTCCTTAATTCCTAATTGATCTCCTTCCTCCAGTATAAGTGCCCTCTCTGTGTCTGTCCATTATGGTACATGAACATGATATCCACAGTGGGGAAATACACATGACACATACAAACATAGGCTGTCTTGGCACTGACAGACAAAAGCTGGGCACAGTTGTAAGAGGTAGAGCTGGTGCAAGTGAAATTAATATTGCATTTGCCGGCTGTAAACAGACATCTGCATTTCCTAGTGAGCTGCCAGGAGCCAGATTCTGAGAACACGAGTGATGTGCCAGAAGCAATATATGAATTCCAAGTTCCAGGCACAATCATGAACAGGCACAAATTCAGAACTAAAGGTCGGGCATTAACGTTTCAGACCTGTCACCACATTCAGCACCTGGAGCCAGGTTGGTGTCAAACATTGTATGAAAATTGTATGTGTCATTTGAGTGTCGTACTGATGATATTTGTTACTCTGGAGAACAATAAATGTGGACTTGTGGGAAATGGATGGTCTTGGAGAACACAGTGCTTGAAACGGACAAGCTATGCCTATTCCTTACTCCAAAACTGGTTCTAAATGAAAGAGTTCATCCTCTTTGCCAAGGATGATCAGAACCTTTCAAATCCAATGAGGTTGGTCTCAGAGTCACTCTGGAACTCTGCTCTGCCACCTTCCACTGAATACTAGATACTTCTGTTGGTTCCCTATTTCACCCACGCTGCAGAGGGAAAGAAGTGCTGCAGTCGATCCTCATCTGTCTGGGTTAAAGAAGACAAAGCAAATGAAACCCAAGGCAACTAGGGCACTGGGAGTGAAAGTGGCTTCTCTTAACAGCAGACGTATTCCAGCTTCTGTGTTGTTCGAGTTACTTTGGTGGATGGCTCCATGTGGCCATAGCTGTTACTCAACATTTTGAAGCCTAGAGAACAGCAAATGCCTCCTAAAGAGAGTATCCACACTTACACACACTTTTCTGACTTTACACACACAGAGTAATTGGACAAAGCCTGCTGGATAGATTTGTTCAGGGTGCTAGGGGTGGGGGTGGGGTGGGGGCAAGGGAGGAAAACACACCTCTGAACAACGTGTCGCTCTTCGTGGGTTTTCCACGTGGAAAGGAAACCAAATAAGGATTATCAGGAGATCAGGTGAGAGGAATTCAGCAGCAGTTACTGTGTTTTGGGAAAGGGAAGGGTTTCGAAGTTAGTATGTACTTCCATTAAAGTAATGCCAATGACAGTGTCGGTGTGAAGGCTCCGGCCGAGCGCATCTTTCAGTAGTTTCATGTCAAGTGCCTGATACAGTCATCTGCAAATCTAAGCAAGTGTGTTTAGTTTTTCTCATCCTTGTTTTAATTGGGGGAGGGGGGAGATAGGGCAGTGGTTGTCGACACATGCACATACTTTACGCCGAGAACACTGGGCGTGGTTTTTCTGCTGCAAGTGTGCTCAACTGAGCAGAAGGAGAGAGAAGGCTTTGTGTCAAAAAGAGACTGGGCCTCTGTCCTCTGAAGTCTACGCCTCTTGTTATGGGCTGGACAGTTAGTTCTCAGAACATGAGTGGGAAGTGTGCTCTGGGACTCTAGAATCTCCACACCTGAGGCTTAGTTTAAGGGTTTTTTTCTGAATTAAAGCAGTGGACTCGCCCTCAATGACAAGGAGTTGGCAAGTTCCACTTATGTTGAAAGAACTTTTACATCAAAAGAGCAGAGAACCCCAAAGCGGGCAGTTGATCTCAAAGAGAGCTTAACCCGGTCACACACCAGGGGTGGCTGTAAATTGAACACTCAAGTTTTGGTGGATGTTTCCAGTGCCAATGGGGATGCCTATGCTTCTATGGTTGTATATTGTGGTCACCAGCCCCACTGTGGGAGGGAAGGAATGGCTTAAGAAGAGGTGTGATCTGGTGGCAGTGGCGTCTTTCCCCAATTTGATCATGAGTAGTCACCAGAGAAAAACTGCCTTTGTAATACCTAGAACCAGTCAAAAAAGAAGAAAAAAAAAAGTCCCTGTGGAATTAAGGGAAGCAGCATAAAATTTTTCTTATTTGGCAAAATGCATTTTTTTTTTCCTTTTTCTCCAACAACAAGAATCTTTTGCTTTCACTTTGCACAAGTCCATTCCTGGAAACTCTCACATCAACTGCCTCCTTTTCTATTATCCAAAGCTTCCCTGCCTTTTTCTTTTCAGACAGACAAGTTCGAGCAGTTGCAGTAAAACTTCACAGGTGTGTACGTAGGAAGGCAATGTTTTCAAAAAGATACCATATGATGAGAACTTCCAATGATTACTAAAAGAAAACAAATAAAAATGCCAGTCTCATTTCCCTCATTTCTTACTTTGGAGAAGAGAAGCAAATGAAAGGAGGAAGAAATAGATTTGCAGCTAAAAGATGTGGCAAAAAGATACAGCTGAGCCAGTGCAATTTAGCCTTCAGGTGCGGGATGCTGAGAGCCCAAAGGAATGTGAAGTGGACTTAATTAGATGCAATTGTCTTCATCCTGAAAGTAGTCAGCTAAGCTTAATTTCCAGCATTTTGAAAGAATTCCTTCTTGTTTCTTTCAGGGGTGCCCTTTTAAGGCACACGGATGTTCCACACCATTGAGTGGAGAAAGAAAGATTGTGAACCCTATACTAGCCTCGTGGGGCTACCTTCTACGTTATTGGGCAGATTTCTAAGGATATCAGTAATAACAATGATGTGTAATAATAACTGCCCTTGTGTTAGTAAAGGGAGCATTTTTAGTCATTCAGAAATTCTTGTGACATGTAAAGTGCAGTTGTGAGGAATGTGTGGGTGTACGAGATGTATCTGTCAAGTTCAGAGTCCTCTAGATTTAAAAAAAGAATTATGACTTATCAATGGTGCCATTATCGCTGTGTCAGACAATGGGTGTGCCCATTTTCACAATTATCCTTAAGAAAAATCTATGTTCAAATGCTTTAAAAAGTTATCACATGATACAAGAGTATAACTTTGTCGGCCTCTAGAGATTTTTGTTTCGTTTTGTTTTAATTTCTTATTTTTTCCTTCAAAAAAATCAATGAAGACTGATTTCTGTCAATAATTGTATTAAGGGTGAATATACTACCTGAATTTTGTGCATGTTACATTGTAGTTGTAACCTTTTCTAATTCAGGATGAATACGAGATGGTTGTGATTGTGCAGTGTATCAATAAAGTTTAAAGAAGTTTGTAACTTTCGGGGGCTGTTTATTAGGACATCTCACTGATAACTGGAGTGGGGAGAAGCAAAACAGGCTATGCTTCTCCCATACGTGTGTTTCAGGCTTTGCAGAGTAGATGCAATCAGAAAAAGGATTCGCTCTCTCTCACAGACTCACACACACACACACACACACACACACACACACACACAGGATAAAAGGCAGTCTAAGCACTTTCCATGTTACATCTGTATATCAAATATACAGATGTACATGCTATTTACAAATCAGCTGCAGCCTCAAAGTCCTAGGCCTCAAGTCCATTTATTGACCTAGGCTAAAAAGAAATGAGAAGGGAAATATCAGAAAAATAATGACCAGATACTGCCCTGTTTGTGCATGGCACTCCTTAACCGTTCCTGCTGCTCGATGGCACTCAAGTAAGCACCATTTTAACAAGGGTAAGAATGAGAAGACATAGTGACGATGGCGTTCATTCATTCTTAAAAGTATGTGCATTGGGCTGATTTTTATTCATCTTAGGTTTTCCTTAGCTCATGTAATGGTTTCTCACAGAACAGCATGAGAAAGAGCCCTGGCAAAAAGCTCCATTCCTCTGGTTGCCATTTCTAAAACATCTTTCTCTTCCAGTAAAACTCTGTCCCTTCATCACACATTCATCTGCTTTTCTGAAGGAAGGGGTATTAACTTCTTTCTTATGACTCGGTTTCTCATCGGCCACTGGTATATTGATGAAGCCCTGCTAGTTCCTCTCTTAACTAGGTACATGGCCTTGGATGGGCACTGGGCCTTCTCAGACTTTGCTTCTCATCTGTATCTTTTTTTTTTTTTGGTCCTTTTTGAGACCGGCCGCACCACGCTCAGCCAGTGAGCGCACTGGCCATCCCTCTATAGGATCCGAACCCGCGGCGGGAGCGCTGCTGCGCTCCCAGCGCCGCACTCTCCCGAGTGCGCCACAGGCTCGGCCCATCTGTATCATTTTTGAATTTAATTACATACCTCAATGTGTTCAAAATTCTCTGGACAATTTTTTTTTTCTCTTCCAACCACTGGATTTTCCAAGACTGTCTCCAAATAAAGCTTAGGGACAGTGGCTGATTATCATTTAGGAACTCAGTAGAAAATGTATTAAACTTCTTTAGTTAATTTTACAGCACGGGTAGCTTCTGTGGCAAAGCCCTGAGCTAAAGTTACGAGGCTTATGTTCCTGTTTGCCTCCTACTTAGACAAGGGCTACCAACCTTCCATGACTCAGTCTCTCCCACTGGGGATGAAACACAGATAACTTGATAGACTGGATACATGCTCCTTGTAAATTAAAACGGCAAGTAAATGCTAGGTATCAACGATTGCAAGTTTCCAGTTTCCTTAGGCTCATTGCAAAATCATGACTTGTTGAGGAAATGGATTTCCAGTTCCCCTAACCCTCTTAACACCTTTAGTTCTCACTTTTTCCTCTCCTTTTTATTCTTCCTTTGTGTCATGCTCTTCCCATCTGCACCTGCCTCTCTCCCACTCCTGCTTGTACCACACACTAACCCATCCACCCGCTCTCCTGCTGGCACAGACATTTATCAGCCATCTTTCCATCTGTCCACTCCGCTCCATCCATCACTGATGTACCAATTTCCTCTTCCATCAGCTAACCACTCACCTATCCATCCACATATTATTTCTCCATTTATCTAACCCTTACTCCATCTACACACTCATGCACCTCCCTTATGTGGCTATTCTTCATCTATTTATTTAAACCATGTATCCATTCCCCAGCTGTCAATCCATCTACCAACCATCCTCCAACTAGCCTTTGGCAGACATACCTATTTAGAAATCTACTTCAAGGTAATGAAAATCTTTGCCGTTATCTCTCTACTCCACAAGGGAGGCTTTATCTAGTTATTCTTAAGCACAACAGCTAAACGAATGGATGCATTTTTGTTATCTTCGCCCAAAGTACTCCCTATTAAAAACACATACATAGAGAAGTGCTTTTGGAGATATATTAAGGGCATACCTGTTTCTATCAAAGTATATTAAAGTAGGAAGAGGATGGAGAATTTAGTGGAATGGAAACATCCAGAAGAGCAGATGTCGATGTTTAACTTTCTGACACCGGGAACGTGATCATGCAGTGAACACAAATGACTGAAAAACAGACAGGAGAAACCTCAGCTGGCAACTACCCCTTCTTTTCCCACAGTTTGATTTGCTGTTGAATAAATCAGCTTTGAAACCCAAAACCCTCAAGCTACAAATCGTGCTACCTTTTACCATGTTCATCTGGTCATTAGGAAATCTTTTCTTCCCTCTTCTCATATTTTCCCTATTTATTCATTATTCATGCATGGCACTTAGTTAGGAACTCCCCTTAAAGAATTCACATGTAAGATATGAAAACAGCTGTATAACAAGAAAAATTACAGCCTAATATTGCAAGTATTGCGATAGAAGGATGAGGAGATGACTGCAGACTTCAGAGCAGATATTGGGAGATGATTAGGCTTCCTTTTTTCCCCACATTTTTCACCAGGGATAAAAAAACTGGCATGTAAACAGCTAATACAGGCACCGGACATGGAGCACAGATGTATCACTACAAAAATAAATGGGTTAACAGAGCAATGGCATATCCAATGTTCAAGAATTTATTGATGGAATGAATAATATTTGTTGAATGAATGCCATGAATGGAATTAAAACTACAAATGGCTAAAGTGCCACACGGTAGGATTGGTGTTGAAGCTGACACAGGACCGCCTGCAAAAGAAGTGGCGTCTAAAATGTCAAATCTGGTTAGAGCATAAAGTTTCATTCCCACACAGGACTACTGAGGGTAGTCTCTTCCAGTGGCTCTCCAAGCTCCCTGAGCCTTGCTGATGAGGGAAAGAAAGCCAGGATTGGGAACACGGGCAGCAGCAGAGACGTGAAGGCTGTAGGCATAGGTTCAGTGTGGACTTGCTGGATAGTTCCCCCTGAACCGAGCTCCTCCTGATAAGTCTTGCCTAAAACTCTGCAATTTAGAATGAAATACCTGGCTCATTTGTATTTAAGTGTTAAGAACATCTCTTATTTCAAAGTAAGAGTATTTACAGTTTTTACTTCTCCATTAACTGCTATCGCCTGTAAGATATATTTTCTTTTATTTAGTTTGAGTCCTCAAATTATTCTCTTCAGAGTCCCCGTATGATGCAGTTTGGGGAAACTTATTTTTAAATTCTGACCTCACTAATTACCTTGGACCTATTTCTTAGCCTCTCTCACCTTCAGTCTCATCTCAGTCACACAATGGTGATAATACCCACCTAAGAAGACTGGCTGTGACGATGACTAGCTGCAGATAGGCAAGGCTGCTGGTGTACTATCTGGCACTTATTAGTCAGCTGCAAAGCAAACATCAGTTTTTTCTCCTGTTCTTTGCTCAGGCTTTCCTCAATGGCATCACTTTCCTGGCTTCTATATCATTTCAAATGTGTTTTCCTCTTTTAACAAAATTAGAATTTATATTTTACATTTTATTTTTTTTAATTGAAATTCAAAAAGCAGTAACACATTTCTGAGTTCTGGATTGCTAAAGAACACAAGATTGGAGAGTGGCATCAATAAAGTTTTCGGTAGAATATTACAGGAGGGGTGCAAAAATAGAGTAGAACTTAACTTTCAATGAGAGACTTGTATCGGGCAGCTAACGTATGACAGAACTGAGGATGTGAACATGAGAGATGGAGCATCACTCTTCAAGAAAGTCCCAGCACAGATTTAAAAATACAGTACAACATGGTAGGTGTGGTTCCAGGTCTAGGAGAGCCCAGTAGCTGGCGTGTCGTCCAGACAGCAGGCTCACTTGCAGAAGACGAGATGTCTGAACTGAGCCCTAAAGGAGAAGGAAAAGGGAGGCCAGGGAGCAGGTGGGAATGGGCAGAGGCTCAGCCCTGGTGAACACATGCAGGCACGAGCAGCACAGTGAGGCCAGGAACCCGCGCTGCAGCCACCCCCAAGAGGGGGAGGGCAGGGGACAAGGTGGAAGGGATGGGCAAGGTCCAGATCCCAAAAAACTTTACAGGGAATGCTGGGTTGTTGGGATTCGTCCTATAAGAGATAGGGGAAACACTGACGGATTTAATCAGAAGAGTGGTTTTGCAATTTAGAAAGATCAGCCAGGCAGCAGGGTGGATGAATCGGGCATCTGTCAAGCTGGCAAGCGAGCAACTTGTTAGGGGAACTGAAATAATTCAGGTGAGAAGATGAGGAGGAATGAGAAGAAGCAGGCAAGTTGGGATGGTTTTTAGGGGATAGATGAGATGGGGGGACTGGATGCACAGGGTGATGGAGAAGAGAGAATATGGGGAGTATTCCAGGTTGCCGAGTCAGCCAGCTGGGTGGGAAATGGTGCCATTCCATGACTCCAAAACTTAGGAGGACAGTGAGGTTCCATCTAGTTTGTGCCATTTCCAGTTTCGAGTATCCATAGAGCATGCAGGTGGGGATGTTTATGCATCAGCAGCACTTCCCTGCGTCATCTAATTATATCCACTGCCGTCCACAAGGGATGCCTGATTTCTTTCCCCTGCCTCCACCTTCATTCTGCGGGAACTCCAGCAATTCATTTTTCATCCTCCATTTCCTCTGTATCTTGATTTTGTCTTTAAAAGGTACTGTTTTCATTGCTTGTTGTAATGGAAGAGTAGAGAGCAGTTCCCTGATCCGGCCATCAGGAAGTCGCAGACAATGTCAGCAGGGAACAGGAGCTGGCACGGCTGCCCCACTGCCAGGGAGGACTTGGCATGTCCCATGTATAACACAAAGGGCCAAACCATTATTCACGGGGCGCTGTGAGAACAGCTGAGCACTGATGTCGGATGTGTTTTGTCATGACTCGCTTGTAACAGTACAGCGACCCCAGTCGTCCTTGTGTTTTTATCATTTACTTTGATGCTCACTGTCTTGAAAACATATTCCAGAAAAGCTCTTAAGCTTCCAAACCTCATCAGAGAGACTACCTCTGATTAAG